AGTGATATTTATATTTTGTAATTAAAATACCGTAATAATAAGGATATGTTAAATAAAAAACCTGATTTTTTTAATATTGGAGCCACCTCGTCCAATCAGTGTTCCCGTTCTTTCTTCTGGTATAGGAACACGCTCTTCACCAGCATGGGAGTATTTTCGTGAAAAAGACATTGTATCTTTCCAACACGACTAAATCACATTATTATCTTTTTATTGAGTCATCCTATTGCGACATATGTTTTAATTTGCCACAAGTTTGTATTATTTTTAGCGCCAGCGCCGCATCGCGCCATTATTCACATAGTAAAGAGATCATAAATTTTTTTTGACACGATCTGGTGAATAAATAATTTGCTGCGCCACGTGGCAAAAATTCAGATGGTGGGACAATTTGGCCAGCTTGGACAATTATGTAGATATTTGGACAACATTTTTGGACTGGTCCAGGGGCCCAACCTTGAAATTAGAATATTGTACCAAATTAAGGTAATCCCCGCTTATTTTCTGTAATAGCTCAAATAAGCAACTATGTTTTAAACAAAAATTATGATCTTTTTTAATGCCTCTGCCGAGGTCAGTATTATGATGAAAATTTATAGGTGTTAAGTATTTTATTAATTTATATAGCAACCTAATTACTCCCATATACCAATAAGCTTAAAAATCGAACATGAAACTTTCCGTATTAACTAAAATACCCAAATAATATCACACTTCGATAAATTAAAAATTAGATTTCGTGTGTCATTTATAACTATATTTTTCGCAGCAATTACACTTTGTTCGATGGGTTCATCAAGCGAAGAGTAAATACCAAATATGATAATTAAGTGGCATGAACAATAATCATGATAAATTTTTATCTGTTAACGTTGAATGTCGCTTTTTGTATAAAGTCAGATTTAACGATATCGCGATTTTTACAATTCATAGATATCATAGGGAGTTGTTAACGACACTAAATCGCATAGTCGCTGAGTTCCAACTGTATTGATTCATTATTATTTTATAAAACTTTGTTACGTTTGCTATTGAGTTACGAACAATAAAAATAAAAATTCGTTTTATTTTATTTTCGTTTTCTTCAAAAACTGTCTAAGCGAGGTTGTGTCGTCATCATGATGATGTTCTTCCTTGTTCTTTCTTCTTTTTTTAGATTTATTAGTTTCGGATTGAATTTGCTGAATCCCTTTAGTCTCATCTTGAACAATAATATGAATGAAATTATTAATGTCATATGCGTCATCATCATGTTTTTTGCCGGCATTTTTGGGAATGGACCTATTTTTTCGTCGTTTCTTTTTTTCGGTAAATTTTTGTGGTAAAGGTTGAGATTTATTTGATAGATCGTCAGTTGCCAATAATATTTTTGGATTAGATGTTGAAAATCCAGATACATCCTCGGTATCAATACCAGTTTTATTTAAAATTAGTGACTCTTTGCTGGTCGAATTCAAAGAGTCATTAAAATTTATTGGTGATGGTGAGTTTAATATTTCTTTCAATGTTTCTGCATCGTTAATTGCTTTTTCTGGGACTGAATAATTAGAAACAAATAAATAGAATCAATCATATAAAAAGCAGATACGAAAAGATAGTAAATGGTTGTTGAACCAACGTTAGACTATTTTCTTACCATGATTATTGTCTTTTTCATCAATTTCACCTTCCATTATTGATGAAGCGCTGTCTTGTATATCAAGAGTAGAGATCATTTCAGATTCATTCAATTTATTGTTGTTGTTGTTGTTGTTAATAATATTATTTGACTTCAATTCGTTAATCATTGTTTCAAAAGCAGTTAAGCTGTTACTAACACTATTATTAGTTTGCGTATCTCTATCATTATTATTGTTTGTTAATGTTAAAATTCAAATCTCTATGGATGAAAATAAAACTATTTATATTTACTAACCTCGTTATTAATAAACCTTTAATTTCTAAAGGACCCGACGCATATGGAAGATTCATACTACCATACAATTCTAAATCTTTTGGAACATTTGATAATACCTGAACATTTATAAAATAGTTTACTTGATGACTAATTGGTTTATTGACTAAATGATTAATAGAACATTTACCGGAAAACAAACTGTCCAATCCCTCAATAAATTAAAACATTCCTTGGTTTCATCTAGCCAAGCACGTGTTAGAATGTATAATCGTGCCAGTAACGATAACATCGCCAATGATAAAGTCATAAATTCCATTCTTGATAAAAGATTATGAAATTCACTGTTCGTAGAGATTTTCAAATTAATTAATTAATTAATTATATGTCTTATTGAGCAAAGATCTATTCATTATAAATTACCAAAATGTATCAAAATATGAATTTAAAGCCTGCCAAAAAAATATAAATCAAGTCACAATTACGAATTGAAAATTAATTCACAATTCTTTTGATTAAATTTTACTTTATTCATAAGCATTGCACCTCCTGCCAATCGATCGAGTACATAAAATATTCTCTCTCGTGATGGTATAAATTCCCATTGTCCTTTTGCTTTTTTATTACTAATTAATAAATAAGTTTGAAATTACTTAAATTACGTTAGAAGAAAGCGAGTAACACTTATACCAACCTTTTCTGACCATAAAACAAGCGAACAAGATCGGTCAGTAGCTGCCCAAGGTTAAGTTCTTTCAGTCTTTGTAAGATACGCCGAGTCTAATAACGTGAAAAAAAAACAATAATTCCTATAAAATAGCAAGTAATGACTGTGATAATGGATAAAAACCATCAATATGTACAGACTTCAGTTACTCTACGAAAGTAAAGAGACTTTTGGTGTTGGTTTTTATTTTTATAAAACAATCGTTCCAATATTAAAACTTCCTCCCATAAAATTTTTTTATGAAAATAACGAGCGTGGAGCACAAGTTTGCGGAAATTTGCATCGTGCTCTGTCTTAGTTAAACTATCAGAAAGTTGAGTGTTTGGAAAGAAATTATTTTCCGGTTCTTTGAGGTAACGTAAAGTGTAATAGTTGGGATTCATTTAAGATGATCAAATTCTCCATATCGCTGCTTTTACCCTTTTTGTCATTTTTCTGGATGATGAAATTCACATGATATTTGAATAAATTAATATGAGTGTATGCCCGAAAAATTTAAATTTTTTGTCGCTATTTTTCTTTCTGTCGCGTCTATTAAACGGCATGAGGAAAAATTACTTCCTTCTACCTGTCCAATCCTAAACACTCGCTACTTTTTTTGAACAAAAAACGGGCATAGCTTATTAAAGATGGTCATATTCTCCCTATTCACCACGTCGACATTATTCGTTCTCTTCTCTTACTTCTTCTATCGTTATTCTCTATATTTGACTGCCAAAAAAGCACGACTAGAGAATGTCGCTCAACGTGACGAAGGAATTCTACGAGATAGGAGCATCTTATTGGTAATTGCGCATCCAGACGACGAATGTATGTTTTTTGGGCCTACTTTATTGTCTTTAAGCGAAAGAAATGACATAATGGTCTTATGTTTATCGTCCGGTGAGCTGATTTCTTAATATATGTGGGACGAGTCCATAGAAACCAAACAAGTTACTCTAATGATAGATTTCTATTGACTCACCCACATATTCTTTTTGGTTGATTATGGATTGATTTATATCGCAAATAAGCGAAAGTTGGAATTACGTAATTTTAATATAGGCAACGAGCAAGGTTTAGGGGAAGAAAGGAAAAAGGAAATAGAACAAAGTTGTCGGGTGTTCGGTATAGATGAATCACTTGTAAATATCGAAGAACACCCGTGAGTTGCTTTAAAAGAAAGTCAGATTTTTACGTCTATTTTCTTTGATAAGTATTGATCCTCTACTTTTCCCTTTTCTTCAAGTTCTTTACAGGATAATCCAAATACGTCATGGAATACCGGATTAATAGCGGACATTCTTAAAGAATACGTCGAAAAAAATGGAATTGATACAGTAATTAGAAGTTGCACATATTGTTGAGAATTTTTCTTATTCACCATGATTAATTGATGTTCGATCTTTATTTTATTATTCTAAGATTATAAGTTTCGATGAGTATGGTATTTCAGGTCATTTGAACCACATTGCCGCTTTTCATGGAGCAGAGTAAGTTAATAAATATCTATGGTTTATTATTAAGTACTAGTTTATTAATTTCCTAAGCATAAATTTAAATTATTTAGACAATTAATCGCATCTTATGGCAATCAGACGATAGACGTGCATTTTTACAAGCTCAAAACGGTGAATAGACTTCGAAAGTATATTTCTATACTAGATTTGCCATACACTTATTACAGGAATAATGTTGCAAAGCGATATTCAAAATATCAACAACAATCATTATCATTACAAAATCAAAAAATGCCCAATGGCAATGGCAATGGCAATGGTTTTCATCATTCTTCTAGCGGGAATGTTATAAAACAAAGGCCAGTATCAACATCATGGAAAAGAAAATCACTATTATCTACTTTACCGCCATTAACCAAAGTACCAGATAATTTATTCTTTGTTTCTTCACCCGAGCAATATAAACAAACTCTTGATGCCATGAAATGTCACAAAACACAACTTGTTTGGTTTCGGAAACTATATGTAAAATTCTCTCGTTACATGATCATTAACGAATTGGAAAGAGTTAAATAATTTTTTAATTGTATTTAATCTAAATTTATTTTATTTGACAGACGATAGTTACATAAAGATATCCCTTAATAATAATAATAATAATAATAATCATAACCATAATAGCAATAACAAGCTATAAAAATTGTAAAATAATTTGAATCAAGAATTCCAATTAATAGATATTTTATACGTTCTCAATGATATCCTAATAAATAATAAGTAATCCAGCAATGCACTCAATCGAATGAATGATATTTATGTAATAAAAAACTAATGTCGACATAAAAAGATATAATAGAGAACGTGTCAATATAAATATATAATCATTAGGGAACTAATAAATCTTGATCAATAAAAAAGAGAATATTTATTATTGAAAATTGACAAAGTGATCTAATTGGAAAACGAAATATTTCTTAGAATTTGCCTTTGTTCAGCTATAAGAAAGAAATCGGTTTGCTTAGAATAAATCAATCAAACAAGATTAATACAACAAATAGAATAAATTGCATCGCTTACTTGAATACCAAACAGGCATCGCAATTTCTCCGCCAGTCGTCCTAATAACAACTTTCTTACGATTCCATTTACGCGGTTTAATACTTTTAGGTGATTGTGATGTTGTTGATGAGGATGTTTGTTGTTGTTTTTCAGGAATATCAGAAGGAATTATAATAGCATTTCGTGAAGTTTTTGATTGCGCTAATAATAAAAAAAGTTATCCAATTAATGATAAAACGGAGAAAGATAAACTCGTCATTAATCGAAAAATATATATATGTATATATATATACTCTTACCTTCGATAGAATAAGTTCGTGTAGTGGTGGTAGTGGTGGTGTTGTTTGTTGTGGGTTGAGGAACAAATTGATTAATTCGAAATTCATAAAACTGACCACTTCCAATATTATTATTATTATTATTATTATTATTATTATTATTATTATTATTATTATTATTATTATTATTATTATTATTA